TCATTCTCTTCCCGCACAGGGAGAAGGAACTTAAGCACCCCCCCCCAATGCTGTTATTATAATTTTTGTGCCATCAATTCACAGCTGATTTATGGCAACCATATAGGTTTTTTTTAAGGCATCACTACTTGGGTATTTCTCGGTGGTCTCCCATCCAAATACTGACCAGGGCTGACTCTGCTTAGCTTCCAATAGGCTAGCCTGGGCTAACAAGGTCAAGGCCCGTGCTGTTATATGGACCTGAATTGGCTATGGGGCGCTTACTACATGTACCACACTGTGGGGTTACATACTTGAGTTACATATTGGTTTCCCCATTGGGGCAAACAGAAGCTCCCAGGGCCATTTTGAGTCAGGGAAACAACATGGAAGAAAGGCTTCTATACCTTCTTGTTGTAGTCTTGTTCAGAATCTGGCCCACACACACTTGGGAATTCAGTTTGTAGCCTGGAGCTCCCAGATCACATTTGGTGTTGGCTGCAACTGGGTGGGCGACACAGGAGGGACACAAAAGACTTCGTAACATGTGAATTGGCCCTTCTGTTCACTGTACGCACCACTTCTCCAGCTGCCTTTAAGGGGTGTTAAAGGTGATGGGAGGGTGGCGGCTAAGCGCTACCCCAAAGCTTCGTCCAGCAAGAACAATAGACCAGCGGATCCTAGCCCGCACCAATCACAGGGCCAGGTCCACAGCCGGGAGCCTATGAGACTCCCGGCTACTGTAAATAACCTATAGGGTCACTAAGGGTGTGTTTTGGGTGGTGGGTTTCTGTGCATATATACCGGCCTGGGTGCCGGCCTTCCTTGTCTTGTTCTGGTTTAATAAAGTACTCTTGCTGAATCACTCAACGCTTCCGAGTACTTTTCAGGAGTACACTCCCCACTCTCTGGGTTGACATCCTCCAGGTCTCCCAGAATTAAACCATAGAATCATAGAGTTGGAAGGGACCTCTAGCTCAACCCCCTGCACAATGCAGGAGATTCACAAATACCCCCCACACATACCCAGTGACCCCTGCTCCATGCCCAGAAGATGGCAAGAAACAAAACAAAAACCCTCCAGGATCTTCAGCTCTTCGACTGCAGACCTGCACAGCTTAGTCTCTGAAACTAACTTATCTCCAGGAGACAGAGATCAGTTGCCCTGGAGAAAATGGCTGCTTTGGAGGGCAGACTCTATGGCAGAACCTTTTAGAGACCGAGTGCCCAAACTGCGACCCAGAACCCACTTATTTATCGCAAAGTGCCAACACGGCAATTTAACCTGAATACTGAGGTTTTGCTTTAGAAAAAACAACTCACACATTAACTTAAGATGATCCAAACAAAGTAAGGAAAGCCATCCCAAATGCTTTCATTTACGTAAAATCATTTGGCAGAGAATTCGACACTTCAGTGGTGGTCTGGGCCTGGCTGGGGCGATGGCATGTGTGCCCACAGAGAGGGCTCTGAGAGCCACCTCTGGCACCTGTGCCATAGGTTCACCACCACTGCTCTATGGCATTATACCCTGCTGAGCCCCCTCCCTTCACCCCACCCTCCCTTGATTCCACCCCTAAATCTCCAGGAATTTCCCAACACAGAGTTGGTGTCCCTACCACTCTCAGCCAAGGAGAATGACCCAACCCCCCCTCTTTTTTTTGCTATCAAGTCTCAGCTGACTTATGGTGACTCTGTGGGGTTTTCGAGCCAAGAAACATTCAGAGGTGGTTTGCTATTGCCTGCCTCTGCAGCATGACCCTGATATTCCTTGGAGGTCTCCCATCCAAATACTAGCCAGGGTCGACCCTGATTACCTTCTGAGATCCGGCTAGTCTGGGCTACCCAGGTCCTATCATATCCATCTCACTACCACTTCACGCACACATCAGATAAAACGCACGGTACGCAGGCTTTTCATCCTTCGACTAGACTTCCCTGTCAGAGTTCCCAGTCCTGCAAACACAGGATATCTAAAGCCACCCACCCCAATTTATTTCAGCTGGATAAATATTGGGAAACTCTGGCATGTATCTGGTTACCCAAAAGTTTCCTTGTTCACCCTTCAAATATGTAAATCTTCCCTTTATTGCCCTGAACGCTTCATTTAATTGAAACTTTACTTAAAACAAATGTGTACAGTGAATGGAATTCGAAGAGCCAATATAAACACTCAATAAAAGCTTAAATATATTATGGGAGATTCTACCACCTATGGAGAAGCAAAAATAGAACACGGCCCCAGACACGGCAGCCATGTTGTAGGGGCACACATATCTGGGTAACACCGGGTCAGTCTCTCTCTCTTTCTCAGCTTAACCAACCTCATAGGGTTCTTCTGTTGATGATAAAGTGAAGGAAGAAGAAGCGATTGGATTTATACCCTGCGTTTCACTCAGAGTGGCTTACAAACTCCTTTCCCTTCCCCTCCCCGCAACAGACACCCTGTGAGGTAGGTGGGGCTGAGAGAGCTCTATTGATGACTGCTCTTGAGAGAACAGCTCTGAGAGAACTTGTGACTGACCCAAGGTCATGCCAGCAGCTGCATGTGGATGGGTGGGGAATCAAACCCAGTTCTCCCAGATTAGAGTCCGTGCTCCTAACCACTACACCAAACTAGCTGTATGGACTGCAGTCCCTAGTATTATCCAGGCAAGTTTGTAAAACAATTTTGTGCAGTACGACCCTATTACCTGCATAGAAAAACCCTCTTGAATAGTTCAAGTTTACATAGTGGCTTACCACATTCCGCTTTATTATTTTATCTTCACAACAACCCTGTGAGGTAGGTTGGGCTCACAGTATGTCACTCACCCAAAGTCACCTGGCAAGCTTCCATGGCAGAGTGGGAATTTAACCTTGGTTCAGCCAGAACCTCGGCAGATACTCCAACCACTACACCCCATCAGCTCTCAATACATATAGCAGATAGTTTGTTCTGAGATTTATTTATTTAGTTATTAAGTCCCACTCCAGACACTTTAAAATAAAAATAATAAATTATCAATATAAAAAACCTCAAGACATCAGAACAATTTGTAATCCATAAGTAGGATAGCTGAGGAAACATCAGAGTTACCAAAGCAGACTGACAATCCCACCCCACCATTATTTTTGGCCTGCAATCCTGTTTGTAATTATCCAGAAACCAGATTGGTAAATTAAAAAAGACTTCAGTGGGACTTACTTCTAAGTAACCATCTATAGGAGCAAGGCTGTTGCAGCAGCTTCTGGATCGGGGCCTAGAGCCTTCCTACTGTGACTCACAAAACTCTCCCATTTTAATTCCCCAACCTGTCTTTTTTGGTTTTGCGATCTGCTATGGAACAAGGAATTATAGGGAAGCGCAGGGCAGTCAGGATGCAGCATTCAAACGAGACATACAGTTGTATATTCTCGGTTTCCTCAGCAAAGGGGGAGGGGGGCGAACGCAGGCCTTGAAGATCAAAAAGATAGGCATAGCCTCCCCGGCTCCAGCAAGCCGCAACTTCAATCCTGCAAAACTCTTCAAGGGCTGCCTCTATTTTCCTCCTTCCCTATGTGGAAAAAAATGGTTAGATGTTGACAAGTTCTCTCCCTGAGCCTCCGTCTCCTCTCCCCCTCCCTTCTTCCTCCTCCTCCTCTGGTGAAAGTGGAGGGTGGATGGGGAGGAAGTCTCCCTTACTTTGGCACTAATGTTAAATACAGCTTGGAGCACGCACACACACATATACACACACACACATATATATATACCTACACACACACACACACATATATATACCTAACACACACACACATATATATATACATACACACACACACCCCTTGGAATATCTATGTATCTATCTATACACACACATCATTGGTCCTGTTGTAGGTTTCCTGCCCTCTTGATGGGTCTCTGGGGGTGGACGAGGAGGGCAGATGTTTGCTTCCTCTCCATATGTATGTTTGAAGGAGACATTCGAAATCTTCTTCGGGGATGGGGGGGGAGAGAAAGCAAACAGCGCTATTCTGTTGCATGACAACTCTCTGCCGTTTCCCACGAAGTTGCCCCATTTTCATGTCGAGAGAGAGAGAAACGGGAGGTTCTGTCGCGTTCCCCTCCACTCCGGCGCCCCGGGAGACAGAAGATCCGATTTGCTTCCAAACTCCCAGCCAAATCCCGACGACTTCCCCCCTCCCTCCCCCCTTTTCTCCGAATAGGCAAAGCTCCACTTTCCCGGAGGGAGGCTCGGCCACGGCGGAAAAAAGGAAGGGAAACCAAACCCTTCCCGGGCAGTCGCCACGCGCCCAAGTGGGAAGTGGACGGGAAAGAAGGAACCCAGCCCGGAAAGGACTTCGCGGGTTCCAGACTTGTTCCTTTTCTTTGTATGGCTATTTCATTCAAACTGTGCGGCGTGTCTCCGGTAACCCTCCGCCAAGGAGGTGGAGGGGGGGGGGCGGCGGAGAAAAATAGTCCCAAGCTACTCTTTTCTGTCTGATGGGGGAAGTATTTGTGTGCGTGTGTGAGTGGGCAGAAAAGGCTCGGAGCGCTGGATTGCGCTTCACCGCCTCCTGCGCTCCGGTGACCCCGCTGGCTTTGCGCCCTCGCTCCATCCCCCCTTTGCGTGGAATTGCCCCGCTTCGGGGGCAGCTACCAAACTACCTCCCCCCCCCCCCCCCCCCC